GAGCCACATGTACAGATACATCGCCCCAGGTTCCATTATCGTTTCCGACAGCGCGCCCCAATATCGCGGTTGTACGACGATGGGCTTCTCGGATCATAAGACCGTGAATCACAGCCAGCAGGGCCCCGGGAGGTAAGGACGACGATATTGTGCTATGTGTTAAGTGAAAGAAATGAACGAGCGTTATTGAAAAAGATACCAAAAAGTGACATTTTTCTTTTTTCTCCTTGCAGATTCGTCAACAGCGAAGATCCCGAGGCCCACACTCAGAACATCGAGTGTAGACACCGCTGGCTGAAGAGGTCCATCAAGTCGCTCCGCACGGACAGGAGCCTGCAGAGTTACACCTGCAGCTACGTGTACAGAACGCGGTTCCTGTCTAAGTTGCCTACAATATCGGCAAAGTTCCGGCAGTTTATCGGGGATATCGTGGCCGTCTACCCGGGCCCCGGTCGCCAGGGTCTCCAACTCAAGACGATCGGAGTGCCCGTGGATCAACATCTGCCGCCAGACGAGCCCTATTTCGATATCCTCGAGCACGAGGGCGACGAAGAGGAACAGCAGGGGGATGACGATCGCCCAGTGAGTAGCGAAGCTTGTGTATAGTGCGCGTGACCGAAGGATACTTTTTTGCGGATTTGAAACCTGGATTATGATTTTTCAGACAACATCGGGCGCTACCAGCACCTTTCTCATCGACCCCCAGGACCTAGCCGAGGCGGGGACCAGCGGCCTCACCCCGTCCTCCCCATAACATCATGGTTATAAAATTGGTTATGAAATTCAATAGTATTATTAATAAATGTTGTCAATGTAATGCACATTTTATAATAAATAATAGATGTGTAGATATATTTTTAATTTTAAACAGCTTTCAAAATATTCCAAAAATAAGATTTAAAATTAAATTATTTGACAATAAACTATATGTATATAAATTATATAAATATATATACAAAGTATTCATAGAACTAGTACATTTTGAAGTCGCTTCAGTACGTTTTGAAATTTCATTGAGGCAACACTGTTTTGGAGGTAAATCTTACCTGTTAAACGTTAAATTACTTAGCCTTTCTGGCGGAAAATAAAAAATGCGTATTATTTTCGTTAAAGTTATCGACATTATTGTATTATTAATATAGCCATAAAAATGATTGGTATTCGAAGCCAACGAATAAATTACTGCTTTAACGTTACTAGTTATTGATAAGTGTGTTCAAGAACTACCGTGAATAATTAGTGACGTTAAATAGCACTGAAAAGGGGCTATAAAATTATGAGAGAAAACGTTGGTGTATGGCTTACGAACAATTACCAATTTTTATCCGAATAGCTCGCGTCCAACAAAAAAGCAGAAACAAACTTTTACCTCATCTTCACTCCCAAAGCTTTTCCTTTCTTTCTTTCTTACTGGTTCATATTCGTAGACACTATATATTCAAAAACAACCAGTCTAAAAAGTACCCTTCCACGCCGAACACGCTCACAAATGAAATGAAATACCACGTGCGCGCCTAAAACCGTACGGCAAAGTGTTGCCAACTCAAAATCCATACTTATCGCCAGTCGTTCAATAAAAATAGCCAAATAGTATTCTTTCTATTACAATTCTCTGTTTTTTCGGGTTAGAAAGTGTCGTAAAAATAGCTGTGGCAACAAATATTTAATTAATTAAATATACTTTATGCTAAATAACGTTGTTGAGCCAAAAATGAACCGTTTATATGAAAAATAAAAGAGATTATGTAGCCTCTACATTCCGATAATAGCTAATTTAAATAATAATTTAGCTAAAAAAAATTAAAACCTAAAAATAATATATAAAAACCGATGACCCTATTTCTTTTGCAAACGAGTTATTTATAAATTCACTAATTGTAATAAATTTAACTGCAGTGAAATATGAAAAAGTATTCGGATCCTTACGGGTCCGATTGTGTAAATCGGACTCGTAAGGTTTGAAATTAAAAGATAATCACCTTAATTTAAAGAAAAAAAAACAGCTCCTAATTTCATAAGCATTTGAGTATGACAAAGCTCACACTAAAATAAATTAATATCGGATTAAATAAGAATTAAGTTGTGCGTAACCGCACAATTCAGACTCTATGACCGCATTCAAAATTTATCGAAAATATAGACTTTATTACTAGTTTAACTTTAAAAAATTGAGGGTATTAATAATTACGTTGCTTGAATATTTATAAAGTGCAAATTTATTGATTAATTAGCGTGAGATAACAGCATATTGTAGGATAAACCACCGAACGCGGTAGGTTGATTGTGTGTTCGCGCTTTGAGATTTGAAGTTTTTCGGGTTTTTTTCCTACGTTAGTAACATCTAAATAGGGACTAGTTTCGCATAAAAGACCGCTCGGGAGCCAGAATGTTCATAGAATCCTCCTCGGCATATTATCCACGTGTCGCGTTGCCATAACCAAATACCGTAAACCAAACGATTATTAAGAACGGGTCTGACTCTCAATGGATTAATCAGTATGCCCTGAGGAACGGAAAGCAGAATAAATAAACAACAAGTCATAATTACATTTTTAACGTAATTTTAATTTAACAAACGAAATAAATAAATGTAATCCGTACATAAAATTATATTGTCAATAAATTTAGTCAATTCTCAAAAGTTTTGAATTTACCTTACTCTACATCTAATTTATGTTTTAAAAAACAGTGATAAACTATAGAGCATTAGAATATTGTCCCAAAGAATTTTCATGTAGTTGTGTCTTACATTATTCTCTCCATCCTCCAGAGTAGAAGCATTATTAGTTAAATGTCTCATTCATGATAGCATGTAGGTCTATCATTTTGTCAGTGGCGTGCCGTCATTAGAAGCGGTGGAAGAGCCGCTTCCCTTGTATTTTATAAAAAAATAAATACATATTAATTTTAATTATACGAAAATAATCGCACAATATTTTATTATAGCCGCATTATGTATCTTATTACAAATTTCTATACTATACGTGAAAAAAAAGATTGCTATTGTATATTCGAATATTAATGGCGGAGTGGAATCTCTGTATTGTCAGATTCTAAAAAGCCAGATTTGCGTACGTGCTTTACAGAGCACCAACCTCACCCGGTTTAGCGGATGGAAGCCTACGACCATGGGTCGATGCTACACATATAACGCTTCCAATTCTATCTGGGACCGGTTCCGGGCTGTTAGCCGCCCGCCCGCTAGATATTTGGCCGATTACGTGAATCACGAGTACATTTATAACTTAACCCAACCGATAAGAATTTACTGGTATGTTTTTACGATAGTTCTGTATAGTTGACAGGAGTTTAAAAAATCCATTAAATTATTTGATATATTTATTCCGCTCTCCGATTTTATATTACTCGTGGATTTCAAAATTAAACCAGTGATATTACGATTTCGTATCTCCCGTCTTTAAGGGAATGTAGAAAAAAACGTGTACAATTCTTGTATAATGTTAAAAAATTAACCGTTACTTCGACAGCGTTGTTTACAACTAAATTTAATGAATGAGAGAGATGCACGAGGTACAGAAAAAGCTCTAGAATTTATTTTCCTTAAATTTACGATTTATGTATCCGTTTGTCATAAAAATTTGTCTTTCCGCTTTTTTCCCGAGACTACAAATATTCGAGTACAAAGTAACCGGTTTCGACTTACTTCTACTTAAGAAGTAGTTAAATAATTAAGCGATTAGGGAATTTGGGACGTAAACAAAACCCTGATGAAAGAGCCGGAATATTACTTAAACAAAAGTTTAACCGAACCAATCTATAACCGAGTACAGTGGGGACTGATTTATTCGAAATACTGTATTAGATGTAATAAAGACAGAAATTTTTCCAGTTCAACGAGAGTAACCGAAAAGTTGTAAATTTTGGAAATTTCCGTGGACAACACCTGGTCCTAAAACGAATTAGTTAGAAAACAAAAGACGGACAATCTATTAAGTTTAACGTATNCGGGTGGCGTAACTGGTAGCGCACCGCACGGTAAGCGGAGGTTGCGGGTTCGAGCCCCGTCCCGGGCCAGTTCTTTTATTCCAGAAGGTTCTAAATTTAATTTAATTTAATTATATTTATTTAATTATTAATTTAGTTACGAGATGGCGCCTAACGCTTACCTCTTAAGACAAATTGCTTTGGTTCTAATCATTTTAAGTAGCCATATTATAGCCCGTTATTCAGGCGATCGTTTGGAAGTTTTATATGTATACCAATCGGGCTTTATGTTGATGTTATTTATATATTAAGTTTAACGTTTTTAGATTTTTACAGCTATGACGAGAAACGTTTAAAATTTACAACAACCCTGTCGCGTCCTTTGAGATATACTAGTGATGCGACAAAAGAGGCATTTGACGTTAACCGGTATCGGCACCCTCGGGATTTGGCACGCATGCACGCAGCGCACACCTACCAAGATCGTCTCTGATTCCATCCACGAGTCACTGATGGGAAGCACTTTTAAGTAAGTGGATTGTTTTAATATTTAAAAAGTAAAGAATATCTTATGCTATTTTTATGTACGTTTCTTCACAAAACTATATTTTCACATACATATAAAAAATTCTACAAAACTTGTGTATTTTTTATATGTATGTGTTATATCCCTTTTTTATGTTTTAGTTGGCTGAAGAGGGGCTTAAGAGCCCGAAACGTGTAATTTTTTCACACGTATCAACTAAATAAAAATGAGGAAACCTGCCAACTGTCTTAATTTATAGCACTTCATCATGTTAGGAGCCGAGATATATTATATTTTAATTAGTAGATATTATCGAAGCGAGAATTGGCATTTAGAAGGCGTATAGAATCTATTACATCTAATATAACAGAGTTAATTATATTAAACTTGCTTATTTATTAAGTGCGTTGGATAATCTATTAATTAAAAATACATTTAGAGAAGAGTACGGTTTTTACTGGCTTATCGAACAAATTAATACGAATGGACCCTAGACCATCACTGACTGACTGCCCCTGGAAGTCGGCTTGTTACAAAAACACAGCTTCCCTATCATCAAATGTCACTGCACGCTCCTGAAAATTACATGAATCACTGAGGATTAAGATTACATAAAAAAACATAAGTATTTATATTTACCTTTGGTATTGTCTTTTCGTGATCCCATCCTAGATGGTTCTTCATTTTTAGTGAGACATCGCGTTGTTCGTTTTTGAGGTACAGACTTACTAATGTACAGTACTTAGAACAATTAGGGAAGTTTGACGGATATGCATCCGACGTTAATGCCCAGCGATCTCGTTGAATTTCTATTTTCTCTCCATTTATAACATAGGAGAAGGTTTTTGAAATAAATCTACCCAACATCACAAACGTAACATTTATTTGTTAGCATCTTGTCGTCTCCTGGAATGCATCGCTCCACTCCTCAATCTTATCGCTAGGAACATGGAATAAATGTCTCTTCTCGTTCGATGACTTATATTCTGCCTTGCATCTTGGCACAAGGCACGTTGGCATTTTTATGTAGCTAAAAAAAAACAATTATTATAGGTCAAAATTACTGACTTCAGTATATACCTAGCAAGAACAACGCTCTCCTGCTAACAGCGGCGCCAACTAGCGGCAAATATTGTCTCTAGCTAAGTTTGAACTATTAGTCGGAAGACCAGTTAATCTACCGACTCTGGTCTTAATTAATTAATTTTATATGGGCAAGAATCACTAAGGGCCTTCCAAGTTTTCTCTGCGCCCGAGAAAAAATTATTTTCTTTTCTTCTCGAAGGCCCTTCAAATAACTTTTATATCATTTTACTATAATAACAGTTCCCGGTAATTCAAAAACAATGGATAAATATTAACAATGAAAGTGGTGACGTTTGATTGAGCACCATTGTATATCACCGCGTAAGATTCGGGTTCGAATTTGCGAAGTAAATGGATATTTAAATTACGAAGCAAAATATTTAATTCTAGGTGGTCCGATTTTAGATAAATTGACCAAAAAAAAATAAGCGAAATTAAAGAGAAAACCGTATCAAATAAGATGGCGAACTCATGGAATTGACAGTACAATACTGTACTTACGTATGTAATTGCGTATTTAAAAATTTATTACTTATTAATTAACACATTTCGAATAACATTATTTAAAATCTTTAACAGCAATAGTAAGTAAATATTTAATTTTAACGTATTAAATTTAATAATTTTTGTACGATGTAAGAACTATTTCTGCCACTAGAGGGTGTTTATTATTATACTGGGGGATACACGTGGTTGTATCAATATTTGAACGTTAATAATGTATTTGAAGTATTATTTAAATGAAAATGGAGATCGGATTTACACGCTTAAAGTAAGTTTAGTTGTTTTGTGTTTCTTTTTGTTCATTTAAATTGCTTAAATGTATGCATGCGAGCGTCATGTTTTTGTTTAATGGTCGTGTGTTTGTCTGTTCGCCAAGATGAGCTATTGTATTGTGAGGACCACTAATAGAATTTATACTTTCAAACACTTCTTACTATTATTACATGTGTAGTTTACTATTTAAGTGTCTTTGATGTGTAAGTAATAAGTATTAGCTTCCAAACAGTGCTTTATATGGAGATGGCAATGAGTTGTGAGCAGGCTGTACCATCATTTGGCCACCATGTTTGATATTGAATAGGATCCAGATCCTTAGAGAAAGTGACTTTCCCATTCTATTATGTAGTATTTATACATTACCATATTACATACTTAAATACAGTATTACCTTTGTATACTAGAATCATCTCTGTTCATCTAAAAAATCAAAAATAAAATATTTGGCTGATAAAGCCTGCATGTGCAATCAAATTTAAATTCTAGTCAACTCTATAAAATTTCCAAAGCATTTCCAGGTCTTTTAAACAGAACTTTGTTGTTGTTTTTCACTAAAATTGCAACTCCCGGTTATGCTAATTTCGGGTAAATACAGCTGAAATCAGACAATTTAAATTGTGGTCGATTAAACCCTGTTTTGGCTATTGTTTTTACATCATTAAATCCTATATAATGAAGAGATTTATGCTTGGAACTGAATATCTGTGTGACAACTAGTAGAATCTTATTCCCATATCATACAGGAGTAAAATAAATAAGTAGTTTATAATGGATGATCAATGCAACTCCTCGACAATAAACGTTTGGTTTGATAGTTGGGTAGCTGCGACAGTTATTCGTACTGCTCTGGAGACTTGGGATGGAATCGGGCCCATCGTGGGCCTCAGTAAAAGGCTCTTTTAGTGTCTACAAAACAGAGATGAAAAAGAAATCTTCATCTTCAGATATATCTCTTGGAACATCATTTACCCTTACAAATGTGAGATTATAAGGATAAAGATACATACCATTTGAATGTATTGAATAATTTTAATGTTGTTTTCAAGTCAATAAAGTATCTAAGTTGATTTTCAATTATTAAAAAGTTTTTCGGTACAGAATTCCAGTACCCTACTCATTTCGGTTGATCCGAGTTGGGTTCGGTCTCATTTGATACGGATAAACTGGTCTGACTGTATCTTAAATGTAGAAGTTAATGTAGATATCTGCTATACTATCATGTTGATTATTTTTCAGGATACGGATCAGGAGGGCAAACCGACTGTATCGGCTCATCCTGGTAAGACATTCTAGCTGTTTTAAATTTATTTGTAGCTTTTTGTGACAACAGTTTTGATTTGCAGCCAGATTTTCCCCAGAAGATAAATATAGCAAACACAGACTCATTATAAAGAGAAGATTTCATTTGCTTCCCATACAAAAGGAAAAGCAAACGTATTAATATTTTGTATTGTGATTCGGTGAACTTGTACAATAAACTGCTAAATATTTTGACAGATTAAAGTTTAACAGTGTTTTTTTTTCTTGTTTGATATCTGCAAAAAATGAGAACAAATTAATATTAGTGTTGCTGACACATGAAGCATTAAAACCCAGCTCAGAGATAGGCAACAAAATATCTCTCAGAAAACTTATGCCATCGTAAAACAAGGTGTAATGTATAAAATTAAGCTCTGTTTTCTTGGCAACAAGAATAAAAGTTCAATAATTATATTTAACATGACTGTTTATTTCCATAAAGGAGTTTTCATGAGTTTTAAATTAAAACTTTTTCAGTTGCCAAGTGGTAAACTTAACCAGTATTCAATGTGTACCACTGAACGCTGATTGTGTATTCATGCCTCCTCAGTGGACTTGTTATATGAAGTTTGCCAAGGTTTTCACCCGCATAACACGTAAATAAAAGCCAGTTTCCCCATAGAAAGTCCTAGAAGCAATGCAACACCTAGGCAAATTGCCTAGATGTTGCATTGCCATATTCCATACTCCATCTTGGAATATAGCCCATGTAATTGCATTGTCTTCTCCCGTCAATCCAAAACAAGTTCTAAAGCAAACACTGGGAATTCCTGCAGCAAAATTAAAAGAACTTTGTTATTTTGAATTTATCATTGTTTAACTGTAGCAAAGAAACGAAACATAAACTAGAACCTGTTTAGAATTTAAATATTTATTTACAAAGTCCTTGATGGGTATCATCAATAATCATTTCTTTCCTTCTCAGAGATCCAAGAAAATGAAAAGTGACATACAGCACTTACTTTAAAGTAAATGTGTGTGCCATTTTGTTTTATTTGAATATTTTATATCAGTAATTGTCATCTGTAAGGCATCATTTGTACGTGTTTGATAGGAACCATTAAATTTTTTGAATGGATACAAAGAACAACAAAGTCTTTGTCTTGTTTCCTCATTCGAATCAGATGAAGTTTTGTTTTTAATTTCTTGTTTCTTCTGCGTAAACGTGACTTTAAAGGGACACCCCTCTTAATTTTCAACCTCCGAAAGGATGAACCACCTTACAAACCCTAAAATTCAACGTATATCCTGTTTTAATGCTATGCAAATTATGGAATGCCTGTTCGGGAAGTTACCTCACAGTCTGTTAAACATGTTTATTCAGTTTTTCCCAGAAGTGTTTCCTAGTCATCGTCAAAACAAAGCGTAAATTTATGTCAGCATCACTTATGCAAATTAACCACTAGTAAAAGAACAATGAATGCGTGTTTACTAATCGATGAATCAGTGTCTTAACCAGACACTTCATGACCTGCATAGTAAATATCGAGCAGAGTTACGACACTGTTACGCCGTTACGTTACGATTTTAAAGTGAAGTTATCTGTTATTGCACCAAAGAAGTAAATGAGAAGCCCCTACTAGACACACCAACACATTTTCTAAATTAAAAATGATGGGAGGAAATACAGTCGAGCCTGCAATAACCGCCATATTTTTGATGTTTCCATCAATGGCTGAGGTTTGTGTGTGGTTAAATTGCCTTGTTACATCATGTACACATGTGGAATGTGTTGGATCTTCCATTGTTATCCAATTAAAACCGGGAAAACAAATTTCGTAAAGTTATTTTCGTTACTTACGAGAATAATAAGGAATTTTTACACCCTTTCTTAGATCGTGTAATTGTTCAGGATAATTTGAAAACGTTTCGTGACCTCAGGATCGCGCTATCACTAATTAGCACTTTCAGCAATCCTCAATTCGCCGCTTTAGGTGTTAACTCGGGTTAACCTCTATTGTTAACACCTTTATTCAAACAAGAGAGGGTGGAGGAGATAAAATTAGCATGAGCACCTGTTTTCGTCACCTGCACCTTTCAAATCACGAAAGACGAATATTAATTAAACGTACCGAGCGAGGGCAAGGACACGATTTGCAACCCTGCACTTTCGTATTGATAATACGAAGGAAGGGCTTACACGAGAGTTTAGCGTTTCCCACACCAGATGGCGGCACGATCTGCAAAAGGCCCGTGTAAGTAGAGCGCCAAACTTCGGTTTAAAAGTTGATCCTCAGAAGCATTACGGGAGAGAGCATTCTCGAATTTCTGCCAATTGAGAGCGCTTTAAATGGCTGGAGGATGATTTAGTTTCACTTGAAAGAGAAATCGGCCACCTTAAAAAACACCTGTTGGCGCGAAAAGAAGAAAATCGACTGCACCCGAATGCCAAAGTTCAACTTGTGTGTGTTCGTCTTATGTCGAGCATCGCTTACAGATTGACAAATGATAAACAGATGGTCAAGGCTTCGGTTACTTTATAAACTGGTCAAAATGTCTTAGTTAGAAGTTGTGCAGTCCTATTAATGTTTAAAATACACTCGACCCACTGTTAAAGGGAAATATGGAGTTTGGCACATGTCCTTATCAGCATCGAATGCAACTTGTGCACTTCTTGATATCAGCGGATGTCTGTAATCAGTATACAAACCTAGAAATACTTTCATAATATTTATGCAAAACTTTAGAGCAATTACTTAGGTATGGAAGGACCCGTTTGCATCACTTAATGAGCAGAAATTCGCCCCCTTTGTCAAGTTATTGCCCATTGCAATGAGATGATCTATAAATCATATGCAGCAACAGCCTATCGAAGACTCAAATCGGAGCAAATAATAGGGCCAATTAAGCATCCAAATTTGTGGAAAGGGGACGAAAAAACTCTCGACAATCGTTCTGTTAGCGTGTATGTCCGTAAAATCGTCCCTTCCGGAATAAAAACTCGACCCAACCCTCGAGCCCCTCTAAAACAATTGTTTTCAATTAATCCTGAATTATAACTAAGGACTGTCAAGTTTTATGAGCTCGAGCTGCAATATCCGGCGAAAATAACAAGATTAGAGGGTGCAAGAGTCATTTGTTAGAAGACAGTGACTCACTGTCGTGGGTCTGACAGGTGGTACCTCGCTCCGGCTCTTCCACATTAATCCCTACATATCGGAGCCAAAGTGTAATATATATGCGAATATCGTTGGCCTTCAATGGTGTGGGGTCGAGTGGGTTGGTTCACCTTTCGCATACGTATTTTATTATATTTTTTCTTTTGGAAGAAAAACGAGTGGTGTAATTCGTTCCTCCATCTTTTGGGGCGCAGCCGAGAGTGGGGGGTTGGAATTTTTTCATTACGGCCTCGAAAGGGTTGAAGCTAGTTTCGGAGAAACGTGACGTACTCTTCTCTCTAGATACGAAGGCCATAAAAAAAAGGGGGATATTAATGAGTGGCGAAATGCAGAATGTACTTTAATAGCCCTCTAATCGCCCCCTTGGTTGAAACCTCATAAATACCATTTGAGGTCCTTTCGAGGGATAATTGGATGTTACATGGGCAGGTAAGTGCAGTATGTCACTGCATTTCCTTGGGGTGGAGCCTTTTTAAGGATGGATTTCTCTCGATTTCAGCTCCGATAGTTTCGGATCTGTTTTTCGATCGCGGAGGAACTTGAAATTTATCTCAGATCTAAATTTGGTATCACGTACAATGGTAGATCATGAATCAATTCTACTTAATCTCCCTCCTGTGATGCGGGGCGTAGATAGATTAATGCCCTTTAATTCGGTGTTTGACCCTCGAAATTATACAAACTTCTCTTTGTTACTCGCATGCAATGTTTTGCATGCGAGTAACAAAGAGAACAAACCTCACATTTCTCCAAAACTAGAGTTTATACAAGCATTGTAATGGCATTAAACTGTAACATAACAGGCCCTGAACTATAGGCATAACAGGCTCCCACTAAAGAATAAACGTGGAAAAATGCCAGGCCCTAAGCTCTAACGTATTACAAATCCGACACCTACCACGAAATTTCTTCTACACAAAGTTTTTAAAATATGCACATAATTGTTACGAAATTCAGCACGCGACGAAGCCTTAGTTTCGAGTGGTAACCACAGATTTATAACGTTACGTGGACTTAAATGCGGTCATGTTTAACCATTTACACAGTGTAACACATGTTAATGTTTGTGTAGCGATGCAGGCAACATATGTTAATTTAAGAGCAACGAGGTAGTCGACAAGAAGGGAGTTTCAAGCGCTTCAGGTGGTCCTCCACCATAAAAACGTAAGAATATCGCGTACCTAAATTCATCCGGGAGGTTCGACCGACACGTGATAAACTTCCGTATCTGTCAGGACAATAAAAATAGAAAGGAAGAGCCCCAAAACAGAACCTCTTCGCGCAACTCCTCCCAAAATTATCTTCCCTATTCCCGCCCGTAATAACGGACTCTTCGTCACTCTCAACCTTCTTCTCACGTTCATAAATATAAATAGCGTGACGTCATCACTTGTCTTTATTATTATTTCACTTGCCCCCTAACGACCGAAAGTCGGGTAAAGACGTGACGTCAGAAACGAAAATCGCAATTGAGATAGCATCTCGATAATCGCCATTTCCTGTCCTTCCTAACAAATAATGATAAGGAAAAAATCGCTGATGTGAACAATCGCCATGATCTTTTTCCGTCAAGCCATTTATACCGAACACGATAATGCATTTTATATGCAAATGATACCAGGCGTTACGCCAGCCGGGGCCTTTCGGAGCTTTAAAGGGCCCCCCGCCGACGTTAGAATCTTCTTAAGAGGAAGACTACAATAGTTTTGTTTTTTTTTTCTTTATTAATATATGTAAAGGGCCCGACCCGAGTGAGGTCGAGTCCCCGAATTCGGCTGGAATCCGCTCGTACTGCCAAGGACCCTGACCAAACACAAGCCGAGACGACACGGACGTGACCCTCATATCAAAGCCCTATCTACCTGTACACTATCGCACCTGGCAGGTGTGCGAAGGGTAGAGACACACCTGTAGAAGCGAAGACCGTAGGACAACGACTTAAAAAATCAGATACATTCTTAAAAGCCCTTTTATTAACACGGCAGCACCTGTAAGAAATATTCAATCGAGTACGAGGAAAAAACACCAAGACAAAAAGGGAGGGTCGAACATTTTTCAAGTAACAAAAACCTACTTTGTGGTATT